ATTATAAAGAAATATTTTTAAAATATTAAAATATTTAATTTATACGTGTATAATTAATAGATATCTGCTTTTTTTTGTTTAAAAACTTCCACTCCACAAAACCAATCATTACTTAAAATTGTTAATTACTAATAAATAAAAAACTATAGGTAACTAAAAAAAGCAATAAATTGTCCAATATTATATTTATTTTCTAAGTAAATTTATGAGTTATTATAATAGTAATTATTTCCTATTACTTACATAATAAATTATATGGAATAATTTAATGTAAAGATTGATTCACGCTTAAGAAAAATTATTGAAAACAAAAGTTAGCAACATATTACAATTTTGTTTTGTACCAATAGAATTATTCAAATAAAATAGAAATATTTTTTTTTAAACTTATAACTAATTATTTAAATATTTTTTATTAATTTTTTGAATTCTTACAATTATTCTTTAAAATTTATCATTATACTCAGAAAAATGAAACTTATGTTGATATTTTAACCGGCAATTTTTTCTTCATCCTAGAAGATTTGATTGAACATATCGTATTTTAATCCAAATGGTGAATAAAATGAATAAATACCAGTGCTAATCTTTTGTTTTATATCTTCCTGGTCAGCATTAATTAATTCGTTATCATTTAATTTCCAATCATCAACTCCACATAGGGAATTAATAAAGCTAACGATAAGAGGTTCTACATAGGGATCTTTAACGTGTGTTCCTTTAAATTATGTAAGAGTATTGTTAAATTTTACAATATCGATTATTTTATAAAACTTATCATCAATTAAGTCTTCACTTTTATCTTCTAATTCAGTGTTATCATCAATCGATTTTTTGAATTCTTCAAGATTTGTAATCACTTCCTTTTCCTCAAAGTTAAAAAACTTAAGGCCGTTTATCATATGGATTATCAATTTTTTCAATATAGTTATACTTTTCAATAATTTTTTTAAGCCAATTAATTTTTGATCATATTCATCTAAATTCTTATAGTAATTTGCTGCAATTCTATACTTCTTATAAAGTTGTTCCATAAGACAGGCATAAATTGTATTTTATATTATACCACCATATTTGTACGACAAATCGTGATTAGGATAGGCTAAAGAACTTAACATGAAATGATTATTAATTGTTAATGCTTCATAATTTTCATAATACAAATTGTGAAATGATTTCCACCCTGTTAAAATCACAACAGTTTTTTTCTGTTCGTCGTTTAGGTTATCGTTACAACTTGAATCAGATATAAGATGTAGTATAATAAATATTGAGAAAATTACAAATAAATTCATTATTCTTAATTAAATGAAATTAAAATTCGATAAATGATTACAACTTTTCAAAGAATTACATGAATTGTATCTTACTTTAATCGTTTTATATATTGTAGCTAACAGTACATTATTATTATTAGATTTAATAATAAATTATACGCCCTTATTTTAAATAAATTATGTAATTTAATTAATTTTGCTTGTTAATAAAGAGAAATACTTATAATAGAACTACATAAATTGCTGTTAAATGGAGCTGAATAAATTTTATTATTCTTACAATAATAAATTAGGTACTTGTGTTTAAGCGAGAAGTTATAATTTGAAATTACTTAATTATTCAGTTAATATGAAATAAATGTATTAATAAGTCATATACTAAAAAAATTGAATAGAATCATAAGGTTTCATCTCAAGTGTTTTCAAAAATACCTATTTTTGGGAATAGTTTTCTATTATTTAACTCCTATAAACTCTTGTAAAAAACAAGTGATTTGATTAATTATGTAATTCCTAAAATTTCCAATTTTTGCGTTCTATGTTATAATAAGCAAAATTATATGTAATATCACAACAATTAAATATTAGGTTTCTTAGCCTTAATGTAATTAAATATTTAAATGATGAAATATTGAAATAATAATTTTCAAAATTCGTATTATTTTAATAGAAATCGAGTGGATAATATTAAAATAATCTCTTTGTACATGTTTTCAGTTTAATTTATTAATTTTCTTTATTTTATGAAATCCACTGATTTTATTTTTTAATATACTAAATTTTTTTATTTCATGCAAACTTAAAAATAAATTTGTTTTTAAGATTGATGTAATTTTTATATAAAAAGAAGTGTGGATCCGAGTCATAATTAGGCAGAGTCTAGTGTTATAATACTCATTATTAAAATTCTAAGAGCCTAAAATTTATATATTATTTATTAGTAATATCTGTAATAATTACATTTGAAAAACTATTAGCAATAAATTTGTGTGTACTGCTGAGAGGTGAACGGAAAAATTAAATAAATTTTATTCGTATGCTTAGATTTTTTAAATTGACAAATTGACGAATTAAATATAATAAAATAAAACACAATACACATATTGTTATTTTAAAGGTCGAAGAAATGAAAATAATAAAAAAAGCGATTTTACAGTTATAGCAACCGATAACGGAAAGCGTACACGTAGTTAATTCTAAAAATAAATTACCTAATATAGTAATATTATAATAGAAATGTAGAATTAAGAATACACAATTAATTTTCTTTCTTTAGTTTTTATATTAAAGAAGAACATAATGTTTTATCAAAAAAATTATAAAATTGTATAGAAAATAACTAGCATTAAATATTGCTTTTTTTGGGAAGACTATTTGACAAAAACAATTTTACAACGCGTCCCAGACTCCATTGTAGAGGCGGTAAGTTGTTCTCCTTAATCAACACTATTGTACCTACGTTTGGACTGCATCCTGTTGCCTTAGACCACTTTTTTACTAAAACTGAGAAAAATATTCAGTCTGCCGTCGTCACCAAATTTGTTGAACTATTTAAGTTACTCGCTGCCACCCGCGTTATCTATTTGGCTTATTTGTTGCCAGTTCTGGCTCAGGTACCTCAGTCAACAAACCGTTAACTGAAAAATGCGCGGATGTAAGACCATTTAAGAGGAAGGGTTTCGTCAATAATGGAGTGATTTTATATTAATTTTAATCATTTACTAACACTATAATCACTATCAATACTGATAATTTCATGGGAAATGTCTGCTGCCTAGAAATGGCATAACAAATATTATTATGTACACTTTTACGACTAGGGGAAAGAAGGAATGCTGCCTAGATATAAATAGTTATACAAATAATAAAAATCCGTACCTTGCCTCTAGTCTACAATTTGAAAATATCAAAAGTTTTCGAAATGCTGGTTAAAAAGTAATTGTCGATCAGTCATATTATTAATTAAATTATAAAAGCTATTTAATTCTGTATGTTACAATTAAAAAATTAAGTTGATGTCATTACAAGGAATAAACCTAATATAATTAACTCAATTAAAACGCCGTTATTCTTATTATTAAGTTATTGCACTCTTGTGCTCAAAGTTCTCTTGTACGCCACCAGTGATTGTCCATCGCTAAATATCTTCTTTGCCGTAGTCGCTTTTCCGCCATCTGTTCTCATCTGCCATTACGGGCCTGAATCTACACTCTGACTCGTCATACTCAGATGTTCGACACCAGCCATCATGTGGTTTTTGGTAAATGTAGTGATAACAGATTCTACACTGATTGCATAA